CTTGACAGCTAAACAGTGGGGCACCATAGGGCACTGTCTTCTTCCCAGTGTTCATATATATACGCAGTGCTTTTTTTGTCATAGAACGCACCGGAACGGAGTTCTAGCACCTTTTTTCGGTGGATTTTCCAAGTTTTAAAAGTAACTTTTGAAAATTCGATGTTTTGTCCACGTGGATTTGAATTGCCCTGTCGAGCGCAGCAGGTTGGCAGCAAAATCATTAAAACGGTGCATGCGGGCTGCTTGTGTGTCGAGTCCGATGCATGCGTACTTCGTCCGCACTGGTTGTGATGGCGCTGCTCGGCTTGTGATTGGTCGTGTGGCCACGCGCTGAGTGCTTACTGCAGGTGGCAACCGTTATGTTTTGTTATACAACTGGCGTGTGTGGGTGTGTGTACAGTGACTGACTACGTGTGAAAGATAAATTTCTTTATTTTAAAAAAAGTTGGTGAATTGAAAATCTTTTTTTAATTTTTAGTGTAACCCCACTACACTAATGTGACCCCAAATTTAAAAATGAAAAAAATTGCTAATTACTTCTCAACCACTGGTCCTGCTAATAAAAAGGCCAGAATATTAACAGACACAACGACAGAACACATAGATACTAACAGCAGGGAAAGGGCTCGAGAAGGTTTGTCGGACGAGAATTGGACAAAACTTTGGAATTTACTATGAACATTTGCCTTAAATACAATAAATTAAATTTCGGTTAAGAACTGGGGGAGGATATAAATAAATAAATAACTAAATAAGATTAACAAGATGTGAGTTCCGGCACCTTTTTTCTTACAAAAAAAGCACTGTATATACGAATCCTTTGGAAATAGTCATTAGGAGATTTGGGACAAGGTATCTTGTAATGAATTGAAATGAATTCTAGTTAATCATCCACTGCTCCACCTTACTGTTTCTTATAATTGCTTTAAATTGTTCTTATAGCTGAAATTGTTTTTAATCCTGTATTTTAAATGTGATTTGAAATGATTTTCATTATGGTATGTCAATTTGGTTTTTAAACTGTTTCAAAATTAGATTATATTAAGTGGTATGTAAGCAATAATGAATAAATAACTAGAGTGGAGATCTCCTTCAAACTGTTAAACTAATTTAACAGGCATTTGATCTCCCAGGGAATCCTGGAAATTGTAACTCTGGGCAGGGATTTGGTGCATATCACAGAGAATTCTAAATGTCTTCTAAACCCTAGGATACTTTTGAGAGAAATAATGACAAAGGTCGTAAAACTTGTATGTTTATAATAGAAATGTGCCCTGAGTCTCAGAGGGACGGAATACGGTTAATCTCTGGCATGGAGCTTCCATAGTTTAGGGGTATGCAGTGTTCTTGGGGACATCCCCCTTAGCACCTGCCCCTCCTGAGTTTTAATTTTTTGATCACTTAAAAACACAAAAAAGCAAGATAGTGTTTCATGCTGCACAGTGCCATTTCTGCTTCTAAGAATAACTTTGTCCCCTGCTCTCTGCATGGGTCAAAGGAACATTCTCAGAAGATAAAGAAGTCGAGCAGTTTCCTCCCAGCGCTTCATCCTGAACTGTGAACAGCTGCCCAGAACAAAAGATGAGAAAAGGTTGGCAGAAGCAGTCCAGGAGGGAGATGGGTTGGAGTGGAGAGGAAGGGGCTTCTTCTGTCTTTGGATGTATTTGTCAGGTGGCTTGGTTGTTTATTAGTGTGGTGCATGTATGTATGTTTGTCATCGTTTGTGTGCATACCTGGGCTTTATGTGCCTGTTTCTGTGTATGTTTTGTGTGGGGTGCGGTGTTGGCAGGTATCTTGTCTGCATGCATGTCTGTTCCTCTGTGCATGAGCAGTGCTTTGTTGTACTTTGTGGAGGTGAATATGTGAGTCAGCATTTGTGGCTCCCTCCAAACCTTTGACTTGTCAGTTCCTTGTCCATATTGTTTCCTTCTGTGTAATATTTGTCTTCTGAGAAATGGTTTTTGGAACAGCAGACTATGGATTCAGAAGAGCAGTTTCATGCTTCAAAGCACAGCTTCACTTCTGTCTTTGATTCCTGGATGGGTTACTCTTCCTTTAACCACACCATCTCATATTATGGGCACTGGGTGCTCTGTGGAAGACCAGGTCTGCCATGGTAGCTCTTTGCAGGAATAGCTTGCTTTGGTTGTTTGCTTGCACATGCCTTGTTACACACCTTTTAAGAGCTTTCTTCACCTGTGCTTGCTGCTATGTATAAATACTTGTACCCATGCTGGGCTCCTTGGGCATCATGGTTACTAACCGTGCAAGCAGTGCCTCTTCGAAGGGGTTGTTGTTGTTTGAATGGCTGCTAATCATGGCATGAGAGGTACATGTGTGGATAATACGCCGACCTGCTCTAACCATGAAAGCATGTGGCTGCCATACAAGACATTAGCCTTCTCCGGCCTGGTACCTCCAAGTGTTCTGGGCTCCCAACTTCCAGGATTCCTGATACTTGACCCTGCTGGCTGGAACTGAAGCCCAAAGCATCCTGGAGGACACTAGCCTGGGGAAGGCTCCTATGCTCACTTACTTGAGGGTAAATCTCACTAAACTCAGTGGAGCCTACTTTGGAGTAGAAATACATAGGATTTCACTGAGCTATAATAGGAAAAGCTTGGAAGGAATATTTCTGTTTTTGGTCAAGTCACAAAAAATGACATCATTCTACAGAGTTTTGTGCACCTATTTGGAAGATCAGGCCAAGACCAAAGCCAATAATCCAACCCTTAACTATAAATTATAATAGAAAAATACAGCTGATTGACATACATACTTGTTTGGAGAAATATTTATGGAAAAGAACCCAGTATTTTCATTTCCTTAAGTTGTGAAGGCATCAACTATCTTGTCAGCAATGAATAATGCATTCCCTACAAATAGATATGGCTATACTAATTTTATACTGTAGCTAAAAACTTGACTACAGCTAAGGGTCATCACTGTTCAGTAAGCTTCAAAAAGGATTCTTTGTGGTGTTTGAATGGGAACATGATACTTTTGAAATTTTCATAATGTGAATTGATTTGGATTCATTCACTAAACATTGTAGGGTCTTTCTTCAAAATGTTAAGGTCTTCAATTTCAGATCTAAAGCAGGCATGCCAAATTTCAGATCCCAGTCTAATGAGACCATGTGAAAGTTCAAAATCTGAAGCTGGTAGAAGGCCCTTGAAATAGTATTTGGGGATTTCTGCTTCATGTAGACTCTGATGGAGAAACGGCAGAGAACCTCTCCCCTCACCGCTCAACAATGTGCAACTGATCTATTCCTTTATAGGGGCAATGTGGAAAATAATAATTAACCAGTTATTACCAAGGCCTTGCTTCTGTGTCTCTTTTGAAATAGCGAAAGGGTATGAAGAGACTCCTGAGGAAATGATGAAGGGCCATAGTTACTGGGCTTTATTGCCCTCGATAAAGTCACAGTCTGTCCACATGCACTTTCAAGTCAATAGCAAACATGGGATTTTAATCCCATACTGACCTCAGACCATTCTGTCATGCACTAGTTTGATATACGTCAGAAGCTTTTCCTTGCAGAGTTCAGCATCCACACATGACCTGTTTGACCCGTGACAGCACATTTTGGACTTGGCACAGGCTGGCTGGAAACCAGTTGCTCAGTAGCTCGGAAGATTGGGTGGTGTGGACCTTTGAGTCTGCAGAAAGGAATGGTACCCTGCTAGCATGTATGGGTGAAGGAAAGGAAAGAGCATCCAATCAGTTGTTGCCTCTGAAACATGCATTTGGAGCATCATTCAGTGACTGTTTTCTCTCCAGCCCAATCCCAAAGTGTATTAACTCAGAAGTCCCTCTAAGATCAATTGGTCTTAGTCATAGGTATGTGTACATAGGATTGCAGCCATGGAATCAGAGCCAGTGCAGAGACAGAACACGTCAGCCCATGAAATCAGTAGATTTCCAGATCATATGTCCCCTCCTGGAATCTTTAAAGGCTAGAACAGCCACCTAATCTATAAGGAGGGATGGGGTATCACAGTGGCACTGAGATAAATGTATTCATAGCTGGGGGGGTTCTATCAGACCTTAATTTCCCTTGCACTGAGCCATGTTGCTTAATTCATTCTGATTCCTTTGAATAGTTTCTCAATATTCCCAGAGAGTGCAGGCAATTTATTTTACTGATTTCCTTCACTGAGGGGAGATAAAAATATCATTAAGCTTATCAACCTCATGAAAATGGTTTTGAAGGGAGAAAGAGTCAAACAATAAAAACCCACAAAATTGTACCAGAACCCACTTCATAAAAGCGGTACAGATTATAAATATTAATTTCCCTCAAGAGCTGGGTGTTTATTTCATAAACACAATCCTTTAATTACAGAACAGTAATAACTGACCACCTACATGCAGGATTGTTGTGGGGGAGATACTGTCAGGCCTTGCAAGGAATGAATGACCAGATAAAGCAAAAAAAAATAGGTGGAAATGGAAAACAATTATAGTGTTATAAATTCAAGGAAGTGTGTCGTTTCAGTAGTTGTGTAATGATAGAACTGCTACATTATGTCTTGAGTTTTATATTTCTAGAGGGGCTGTTTTTCAGAGGAAAAGGGATATAAATAGCATCAGAATGATTTGAGATTGCATCTTTTCCTCACACAAACATGCAGATAGATGGCCGATCCTTATTCTTTATGCGTCTTTAAATTCTGTTTTGGTGGATTTTTCTTTCATTACTTCATGGCATAAATTGTACTCTCGGTGCTACTTTTAGAGCATCATCTAGCAGTTAATGCTGCCCATTGATTGATACAGGATGGGCTGCCTATTCCCTTCGAACTTGCTCAGGGTTAAGACCCCTGAGGCGCTGCTCCAGATCAGAAGAACACAAGAAAAGGTGTGCTGGCACCAGATATCCAGGATTCTTGTCCTACCATGCAGAAAGAAGGGGCGGAGTGGTCAACAAGCAAGTACTGAAGTTCCTGTTCAGATGACGGTGCCCCAGAAAATGGGATGTAAGGCAACAACAGTTCAAAAGTATGTTTTTTAATTCCAACTCTATAAAGTATACAACAGGCACTCGGCAATAACAGCTGCAGGGAAAATACAGAGCAAAACAAAAGCAGTTAATTTATGGTAAAAAGTTTTTTTTTCAGTCTACATCAAAAGAGTGCAAGTGGTCAATGACCATTTGATGAAAGTATATCTTGGACAAACAAAACTAAATCCTCTTTTTCATGTAGAATCCGTAGTAAGAAGAAAATCAAAGGAAAAAGAGTCATTAAAATTATAAAGAAAACTACCAGTGTAAAAACAGCATACATTGGAATAAGTACGGTAATAGGCAACTCTGAATCGATTTTGCTTTGCTATCAAAGCCTGAAACATCAAGGTCTCAGTGTTGTGGAGTGGACTGTTCACAGAGGAAGAGGACTAAAAACACACTTTCAGTGTTTAGCTTTCTTGGTGTATTACTGAGAGTTTGTCTCAGAAATGGTTTGCATATACAAGAACGCATAGGGTTGGATCCAGACATAGATCCACTGAAAACCATGGGACCTGACTAACTGAAGTCTCCTTGATCTTATTGGGTCTGCTGTGGGAATGACTAAGTCTGGATTCAGCCCATAGAAAGCACTGGTCCTGTTTTGTTCAGTGGTGCAACAAAATTCACTCCTTTTGCAGTCATTGGTTTCACAATGAGAAGACAATGTGTTTTGTTTGGTGTCAATTTTACAGTAAATCTGCTAATCCTTGGTCTGATTGGAGCATTTTTGCAATGGAATCTATTATAAAATGTGATATGTTAGAACTTTTACTGCACTACAGTTTTAAAATTTGCACAGCTTAGCAAAACAGGAATACCTGTATACAGACTGATAGTATGTCATATATTAATTTGACCTGCACATACATTTATACATTTCACAGAAATGACGCTGTATCTCATTAACAGATACACAGCTCTGGTACATTTATAACAGAAATAAGAGAACAACTTCATCATTTCTGTAATCATCAATATTATATAATAAAGGCTTATAAACTGTTAGCCGAAAGAACTGTAAAACGCAGCAAGCTAAGAAAGGACAACATTTTGAGGTGTGTTTGTCTTTGTCATGCAGCATAACACCAAATTTGTATTTTTTTAATAGGATGCCATAAATTTAAGGCACTTGCAACAATGCCGAATAACTAGATGATGATCTAAACTATGGGACAGATGGACAACAGTACAGTTGACATAAGTTTCAGTAATACTGACAGTTATGACATTAATTCAAGTCTACGTTGATCTAAAACATTACCTTACAAATAAGAAAATGAATAATAATGAAGTTCTAAAGAAAAATCTATATGTGTACCACAAAATATCAACACGAAATAATATCTATTTACATAAATATTTGCTTGTGGTCCTATTATTAAATAATTTTTGTGGATAATGCAGTACTGTAATAAGCTACAGCTTACCGGTACCTTTAGAACCCAGTTCTAGCAAATGTGTCTTAAATATGACAGCAAGTTTGTTTTGATAAAGATGTACCATTGTCCCATTTAGTAAAGGGATACTGAAGTCCTAATCCAAACACATTATTAGGGAGTAAACTGTGCAGAAATGAATGGGTCTTACTCATGAGCAAGTTCATCTGAAGGCTGCGGCCATAAATAATAAGCAAGTCCACATGCTACTTTTGCCAGGCAGATTCTTCCTAAAGTGGCTATGGCAAGCTTCCTGTCCCCAGCAGCCCATTGCCTGGATTAGGACCACTGTGACCACTAATGGTCACAATGGTTCCATGGAAACTTGCAGCTGAGGATAGAAAAATTACGATAGGATGCCATTGTTGGGGTAATTTGCATGGAGAGAGTACCATATGGACCAGTTGTATGAGACAGTACATTGAAACATGAATGTGTGTGCATGATTATATATATTTATTTATATATGTAAATAAAATATATTACTTATAAATGCAGGGCTTACTAATATACATATGCTAGTTTAAGTTATTTAAAATACATTTGATAAAGAAGCAAATGTGTCATATGATAAAATAAATTTGTATTAAGTGCACACCACACCAATTATATATTATTGGGTGTGGCTCAAGGACAAACAGAAGGAATCAAGCATAATTCATACCAAGCTCACTTTGAAACTTTCTTGCATAAATATTTTTCAGTTTTTGGGTTTGACTATTCTCCAGCAGGGGGCTTTGGAATGACCTAGCATTAGCAAAAATGATTTTGACTGGAGATAGCATGTTCTCATGTTCAGAACCAAGAAAAGCTAACTACTCAAAATGAACAAGAGTACTACTTTAGCTCAGAGTAGGCACATAATTTGTTAGAGGTGGGGCATGGGAAGTGCTTTGTGAAAGTGATTCCAGCTTTAATGCAGAAACAAAGTAACTAGGAGAATATGATATTGTTTTAGCCCTAGTATCAATTTAAGACAGTATTTAACTGTTTAGAATTACCAGTGCTTTGGATTTGTTGTCTACAAGTAACTGCCAGGAGCAGCTAATCCTGTTCCTGCAGGGCTTGTGTTCTCTCTTACTGAGTTATAATCTAAAAAGTGTGAAATGTGACTATACTTTTTAGAAGCCTGAATCTGAGGAAGCTCCCTGTTTTAGAAAGCTATTGATATATTCACTTGTTGGACAGTGCTGTCTGGCAATGTTCAAGTTTTGAGCACTCACATATGTAAGAAAGCTTACCTCACATAGGAAGAAAAGGTAAATGGAATAACCAACATTTAAAGAGGATCCAGTTCTATAGTTTGGGTAAAGGGTGATATCAAAGTAAAATTTTTGGTTAATTTTAATTTTAATCAAGAAAAATCTAGGTCCTAAATTTTCTCTAGATTGAAAAGTGAAAGGAAGCATCTCTCACAATCAGTTTATAAAGAGAAGGTCAAGATTTAATATTCCCCATCAAAACCCATAGTGCTATCAGGGGTTGTCTAAATTTTGACTAAGAGAAGTTCCATGATCATTTCCAAATGTGGATTGTAATAATTTCTGGTGTTCAGTGAAGTTGTTGTACCAGTGGCCTGATAATTTTGGCTCAAGCAGCTTCAGTGCTTTATTCTTGCTTCAGTTTTATTGTATTTATTCTTGCTACACTTTCATTTTTAACTGTGATGCTTGTATAATTTTTCATGCATTTTCTGTGCAATTTTGGAAAAGCTAGTGATACATTTTAATAAGCAAATAATGTGTACCCCTCAAGTCCCAGGGCAGCTCAGTGCTTAGGAAATGGAACATATCTAAGTTTCCTCTGCAGTCCAAGAAAGCTTGTCTAGTTCTTGCTTATGCCACTTTTAGCCAGAGCAGCCCTAAACAGCTCATAAGAAGCTGTGCAAAGAGAAGCGAATTTGTGAGGTATGGGGAAGACCTGTCATATTGCAGTGGTGTAAGCCTTGGAAGCTCTGAAACACTCGGGTGCGGCTGCTACGTTTTGCTCTGTGGTCACCAGCAGAAGGATTCTTATACCTGATTCTATGTATTGGAAGCAGAGTGCTATTTCCTAGCGTTAGGCTTTGATGTTGTATATGATCACCAACACTCCTGGTTTATTTCATCGTAACTGTAACTGGTAGATGTCTCCAAAAAAGGTAGGCATTCTTTTTTTAAGGTCAAATATATTGGTATTTTTTTAAAATCAGGAATGATATTTAAATGGGACTATATGTTTATTCTAATATATACCAGTACCCAGCATTAATTTTTGTATCAAATGTGGGGGAATGCAAGGAAGGCCATAAATCTTTATTTGTTCTTAAAACTCACTGGTTGCCCTTTAAAGCAAAAGCCTGCTTTAATTGGACAATTGAAAATATTGATCTGAACACCTGTTAAGTTGTAAGAAACCCAGATTTTGGGATTTTTGTGGAACTTTTTTTTTCTTACTGAGCTAGTCTACAAACAACTCTACTGGGGAAAAAACACTGCCATATCAACCATTGTACTTCATTCTCTAAATAATATAATTCTGAAATGTTTTAGGCCATGAACAAAGTCTGAATGCTATGCTACAAACTGGGTTTGACCCAACATGAAGCTGTAGTCCAATACATGCTTCCTCGGAATTAACCTGACAGAAAAAATGGGTCTTCTGAGTAATCATGCATAGGATTGCCCTGTTTGTTTGCTGAAGTCCATGGGAGCAGTTAATCATATGGATTTCAAAGGAGAACAATCCTATCCATGTCTACCCCATTTAATTCAAAGGGATCCTCAGGACAATGGCATGGGATTACAGCACATGTGCAGCCAATTGTGGAACCAGGGGTTGCCCCAGACTTTGGAAAGGACAAAGCAAATAGCTGGGCTGGTCTGAGGATAAGGGAGACAGAATAGAGGGGCAAAGGACTTGGAGAAGCTAATTCAAGTCATTCATTAAATTAAAGGAAGGAGTAGGCTGTGAGACAGTGGAGATACTTGGAAGGAAGTGAAGGGTGTCAGTGCTTGGGTTGTTAGGGTCATTTTCTGCAGAATTTCAGATGTGATGGCGTTCTGGAAATGCATGCTGCTAGAGATTTTTACTGAGCTGATTAAAAATCATATATGCAAGGCTGCTTTAAAGGTTGAAATATTTTGTATGAAGATGAATGCGTATTAGAAATACGAAGATGCTGTTATCATGCAAACCCATTGGAAACTTCACCAATATCACTATCATTGCTTTCATTTTAGAATCTATTCCTGTCCATAAGAGTGCCACTGATATATCATGGGCAGGGTGTATGATTCACCCAAAGTGTGTGTGTTTGATTCTGCCTTTGAAACATGTGGGATTTGGAAGTGCTCCATTTCAGCTGCATTGTACCTCACATTTTTTAGAGTGACTGATAAGAGTTAGGGTTCTATTATTATGCTCCACAGGGAGAAATGAGACCTAACTTTTGAAACAACTAATCCAATATAGCCAAATCGCAGAGGATTAAAAGATACGCAGAAGAGAAAAACAAGATGGCAGTGCTGCAGAGGAGCAGCAGAAGTGTGTGTGTTGCATGTGTTTCTGTCTTGTTCATGTGTGTATGTGTTGACAGTCATTATTCTTGCTACATTTTTCCTCCCTGAAAAATGATTGTGAATGTTTGGTTATTTCACAGATGAAAAATGTACATAGCACCTAAACAGTATGCAGCGGGTCCTCCATGTTCCCTCATTGGGCTCTAAAAGGTAAATGTTATTTTAAAGTCAGTTTTATTATACCAGCTGCGTGCTGTCAATTCCTTACTAGGACCTTTTGATAAGCATGTTTTTCTTTTTATAGTATAGTTATTATAATATATATGTATATGTAAAATGAGTACTTTATGAATAATGTTCTACATGCTTTTATGTTGCTGTACCAAAAAATCCAATGTTGGATATACCATCTTGTCAGACACATGTGAGGACCAACGGGCCCACACTCGTTTTAACAATTCAGCCGAAAGTGTAGCTGTTGTGCTTCTGTTATCAGTTGAGGGGAAAAGCACACCAGAAATAAAAAATGGGCAAAGGGAACATTCATTCTTGTCATGAGTACTGCTTGAAAAGAAAGACAACTGATAGCACTGCATTGACATGAGCTCCTTGGCCAATAGCTTTGCGATCTTCCATGGGTGTATACACCAGCCTCCTTTAAGAGGCTCAGTACACTCATTTTGCAGGCTGGGCATACCCCGGATTCTATACCATAGATTCTACAGTGTAGAATACTCTACAGTACTTAACATTTCAGGACAGAACCAGCAATACAGAAAACGATCTTGGAGCTAGAATTATGTGCATCTTATTCTATCAACTTTAAAATTACACCTGGAGCATCGCAAGTTCATGACAGTGATAGAAAACACATTTAATTACCAGTGAAAAAGGCTTTGCTTCAGGACCACCATGTCAACTGCTATGTCAAGTTCAAACAGAAAAATGTGAAGAGCACTATTGTCATCTAAGCAAGAAGTTCTAATGCCACTGTAGTTACTGTAGCAGCATCAATCAAGGCATCATGGTGACCCCGAGCACTGATCCTTCCCCATTCCTTCAGGTCTGCTGGCAGCCATGTCTCAGGAAGCTGTCTTCAGCAAGGCAGAAGCAGGCAAGAGAAATACATTAAAAGTCTATGTCCCATCCTGAGTTGTCATCAGGAGGTGGTTCATCGTTGTCCTCAGGGAAGCTATCAAAATTGCTTGTATCTGTTGGAGATGCAACCTGTCAAGCGAATAAATAAATAAATAAATAAATAAATAAATAACTGGTACTGTTTGGGTCAGTTGAGCTCCAAAAGGAGGCTTCCATATGTGGTGGAGAAGTAAGAAAGCAGCAGGACTCTAGAAGCTAGTGATCAGAATAATAAATACCTTCTTCACTTAAGTCTTCAGTCAGATCCAATGCTGTGTTTATTGAATTATGTGGAACAGTAGTTACACTGGATGAAAAGGGGCCATTCTGTATAGCATTGCACTTTGAATAATAAGGTTTGCAAGAACATGGAACAGCAATGAAAACCCAGTAAAAACTCCAGAATGAGATCAATGCAAACATATACCTTAGCATTAGAGAACTGGAAGTCAGTGATGGAGTACATTAAAAATGAGCTAAGTATAAATAGTGAGAGATATTGATAATAGTTTTATGAATGTGTAAGATCTGTATTTAAAATCTTCCTATTTTTATTAGATTAATGGAAAATTGTTTTCCCTTGTGTATCATCTCTGTTAATAAATTGTATGTTTAAATGTGTTTGGGTGTAGGTTTTTTTTAAAAGAGAGAATAGTCAGCAGTGTTGAATTTTAAATCACAGCTGTGAGTTGGCTAAAGGCAAGCATTTTGGGGTGAAGGGGATCTCTAAAAAGGATTGAGTTTTCTCCCTTTCAGAAGTGCCTGTCTCTAGTTAGGCTGTGATTGTATATTTGTAAATAAAGCAGAGTGCAAAGACAGTTTAAGGCTCCAGCATTCTTTTAGCAAAAGAAACTAAACCTAGGAATGGTGCCCCTGGAATGTTTCCCATTGACGGAATGGAAAGAGAGTCACAGTTGGTACTAAAGGAGAGAGAAAGGAACCTAGCATTTACAACCTCTCCCCCAGTTTATAATTTCTAAATAAATGTCAAGGTTCTCCACTTATGAATTCATTGGCTATGTATAACTTACTATTTGTTTTAGGAAATTACATCATTTATGAATGGCTTTCTAGTGAGAGTCTCTGGCAGCATCTCTGTTCTCCATTTCAGTCCCTATATCTGGCATTCATGAACAAAGAACAAAAGAAAAGGTATACTCACACTTGGAATTATTGGAGGTGTCAAAGTACCTTTTCTTAAACCTTCCCAATTAAAGCCTTCAAACCACCTAAAGGTAAGAAAAGACAAAGAAGAGAGATGGTTCAGGGAGCGTTGCTGCTGGATCAGACAGCTTGGTTCAACAAAGCGCTTGAAGTGTGGTGATATGCAGTCAGTACATTTTAAGTTCTGAGAGGGTGGAAAGCGCTATATAAAATAGCAAAGTGGCATAGCTTTGAAAAAGTGGACTTATATCAAGCTAGCAGGGAAGGTATCAAGGAGACGGGGTGGGAGGAAGGGAGGGGGAATGTTACGGAGAGATCTAACAGAGCAAGAGAAAAAGTTGGGTGACTACAAATATGGGAACGGCATGGAAGATGGTGATAGAAGTATGACTATGCAAGAAGTGGCACATTTTATGGAGTTTCTCATCAGAGGAGATCAAGGCCCTGGATGGCCAAGCATCCTGAATGTTATCTTTCAATACATTTAATATCTTGACTTGGTGCACACTAAAGGGCACAGGACTTCTATCCAGAAGAACAACCTTTGCTTTTACAAGAAACACTTTCATGTAGAGAATATGAATTGCTTGAAAGCAATGTGTAGGGTTAGACTCCGAATGTATATAAACTGATTTAAATTCTAAGCAGTTCCTTTCTTTTATGCTTTTATTCCAAACATAAGATAAACATGTTCTAATTCTTTTGTTGAAATAAAGCCCAAATACTTAATTTGCATATATTCTTTCCCTGTTACTTTTGCTTCCTTCACTTTTCCTTCCTCCTTTAGATTATAAGTTCCTTGGGGAAGAGTCTTACTGTTACTTATATCATCTATAAAATGCATTGATGGTGCCATATTATTAATACTATACTTACTAATAATATACTTAATAATTCTTCTGATTAAATAATAATTCTTTCTCTCTGAAGCATACTTACTTGTGCTTTTGAATATCCTTGACTCCATTTTTCAAGTTACCTAATCTTTCTGATGGGTTGTCCCTGTAAAAATAAAATAAGGGAATGTTGAAAAGTAATACCTTTCTTTTCTAATGTATTTGCTTAAAGAATATTTTTGGACTCTGTTTTTGTTCCACTCAACCCCCTCCCCCCCCACCACACTGGCTAGCAATCAGAACAATAAAAACAGCAGGAACAACAAAGACCATGTGAAATAAAGCAATTGTGAGAAACATACTCCCTTCTTGACAAAACTACAAATCATTTTAAGGGTTTACCTGCATAGTTTTTTAATTAGGTTAGCAGCATTTTTGGCAATCTTCTTTGGAAATTCAATCATGTCAATCCCCCTTAATATGATGTTGTATGTTTTCATGGGGTCTGGGCCTGAGAAAGGAGGACTAAATAAAAGGAAAATGCCCAAGGTTAAAATCTGTGTTAAAATGTTATCACATATATTCTTTCAAATTGAAATCTGAGCAAAATGTGTCACATTCCTGAGAGAGTTTATTGTTATTTTTTCAGACTGTACGGATCCGAATAACTTTAGCCGAGTTGGTTGGACAAAGTTTTTCCAAGGTGATGTTGATCTGTGTTTCATGGACACTTGAACAAACAGGGACACTTGAACAAACACAAATTCCTTCACAGCATCAAGGAGAGTAGTACAATGAATTGAAATCGGTAGGGGGCTTTCTAATTTACTGCCGAAACAGTCATGATGTGAGTGCTTCCCAAATGGATGCCCCTTGAGCCGGTTTGGACTTGGATTTGCACGGCCAGGATTCAGAGGTAGAGCCATACTTCACATTTGGTCAGTCCCTCCCACCTCAAAATAAGGCTGGGAATAATCCCATTTAAATGTCTGCTGACGCTCTGCCAGTCTAGATAAACCAATGGGTTTTGACTCAGTTTAAGGCAGCTTCCAATGTTCTGTTCCCATCCATCCCAGCCAGCATGGACACAAGAGCTGAGAACTCTGATTTGGAATATTTGAAAAGAACTTTGTTGGGGAAATCCAATATGAAATACAGAATAATGCACCACCATCTTATACAAAGGATTTTTGCAAGCGCTATTTGTTATGCTGAATAACCTGTTTCCACATTCAAAGGAAACCACATGGCAAACTTTCTCATCTTAAGATGTAGTAGCAGAAGTTCAAATACTATGATCAGAATCAGATCTTGCCTACTGCTTGACTCTGTATCATTCAAGGCCTGGAAAGAACTAGTGAGGCAGGCTTTCATATGCCTTTAAGAGAGAAGTTAAAAGAGGCGCAGTGGAATTATAAGGCAGCAGTTTCAATCATGTGTTAAGCATATGACAGAGGAATTGCATTCTGCCAGAAACTGTGGGTAGTAGGGTGCTATGGCTGATATTTAGAAAATAACAAATTGATCTGAAACTTGCCCGGGGAGGAAAGGTAAACTTTGAGAATGGTTCATGATACTGCTGAGATAGACAGGTTATGATATGGCTCATTTATTGGCGTTGGACATCTGAGAAGTGACTTCCATCAGTCTGGCAGATCCCCCCCCCCCCCCGGCCATAGACTTTTCCATAGATTTTTTTCCCCTCTCACATCTGCTGGGGTCAGATGTGCCAGTTGATTTCTCCATTCATGCTGCATCTTTTGGGAAAAAGCTTTATTTGGTTTTTTGCAGTTTATTTCCCAGATATATACACTGCTCCATATTCCAGTATGGAGAATTTGGAGCATGAATCAGTAAAAGAATAAACAAAAGAGTACAACAATGTGTTAAAATGATGATCAGTAAGCTTAAGTGCAATGTTTATAGTGTGTTAACACTATACAAAGACTTAATAGCTTTTGTGGGAAATGCCGCAGTTTGGGGGGCATGTTATCCTGTGGGGGCCTGTATGGTGGCTCACCGCAAAGTCCTCAGGAAGGGCCAGTGCTGTGTAGCAGCATCTCAGAATGAGGACCTTGGGGATGTTGCTCCCAGGGCTCAGTTGAAGTGGGTCATGGTGCTACAGCTCATCTGGTACCTCCAGCAAGAGCAGATACAGAAACTGGCAGTATGGAGGACAGATGATTAAGTTGATATGTGTGAGAGAAGAAAGGGGCAAAATGACAAGGGATAATATTTGAGAGGCACGATTTCAGGTTTAGCTAAATTGCACCAAGCCCATCAGAAAACCCCTCTTAGCTTTTTGGCAGGGTGCGTTTACACGTAAAATATAAGTTCCATAATATGGAAGCCCTGAAGCCTAGATAGTAGAACCCCCATGTTTGGGAGCAGCCTACTTCTGAATAACATTAGGTGGGCTACATATAGAAGCCCCCCTGCCCCCAAACAGCCTTCTTTCATGTGTTCCCTTGACATCTGAGATAATCAGTTATACCATTTAAAAGAAGAATGTTGAAGCACTTGGATATATTTGCCCAGACAGTCAGTGTACATACACAATCAAGATCTACTGACCATAGCCACCCATGAAAAGGTGTACTACACCAAATTGCTGAAAGAATTAATTATTATTACTTCCAATTAATATGGGGAACTGTTATTCAATTGGATGCATACTAATATGATCCACCATAAAACCACTTCAGATTCTCAAACAGGTGTGCCCTAAGAAAACCTCTTAGGACACGATCCTATGTGGCTGCCGATTAGTTTGTGCATACCAAAGGTCGCAGGCATCCAGTCAAACATGGGGTGAGGATTTTCTCCCTGCTTTGCTCACACTCAAAAACATTTAGATGGTAGATTTTGGGTGTCTAAATGTTTCCTCCTCACATGGAGGAGAGACTGAGACACTGCCTGGATTTGTAGACGCCAAAGTTGCCTTGCCCCTCCCACAGACACACACACACACACACACACCTATGCTGAAGATGGTCTTCTGTCTTTGTGCCATCAGCTGGCATTGAAAGAATTGTGCTAACTAAAAGGATGGAGTGGGGGCCTTTGGAAAGGAGAGTCTCTGCTGGGACCTTGGTAGGTTTTTCCAAGATCCACTAATCAGTTATAGGATTGAATTTTATTTTTTTTTAATTGTACCAGGTATACCATTTTTGCTTAAGGGGTTTCAGTGTTCATGCATGTCCCAGATTCCCAGGAAAGGGCCACACCCCATAACTGGCATGCTATTTAAGCAATAAGGACATAGTATTACATCTTAGCTAGTGGCTATATTTAGTTCCATCTTTCCCCCATGCAGTGGCTACCACATATTGAATCCAAGAATTTTGCATGCCACTATGAACACATGGTTTGGTGTGGCTGCAGATGTATGCAGATTGACTTTTCATGCAGTGTTCAATATACAAAAATGCCAGAAACTGAGAATTTAAATTTGCTGTTTTATCTCTTGGTTGTGCAGGCTGGCTACTCCAAACTGTTTGTTCATTAGAATGCTAATGTGAGCCAGTGCAAAATAATAATCATCAGTGTCAGCCATAAGTGTATAGACTTTTTTTTGGCAAATGCCAGCTCTGAATTTCAGTACTCCTAATCAAAGTGACAAAGGCAGAAATATTCTCTAATTTGCTGGTCTATTTTTATCAGTAGCTCCAGTTCAATGCCCATACCTGCCAGTCAAGAGCTCATACATTAAGATTCCCAGTGACCAGTAGTCTGCTGAAATGTCATGACCTTTGTTCAGGATGATCTCTGGGGCTACGTACTCTGGAGTTCCACAAAAAGTCCATGTTTTCTTTCCAAATCCTATTTTTTTTGCAAAGCCAAAATCGACCTGTGAAAGAAGGTTCACATACCCATCAAGGAAGAAAAAATAAAGAGCAAGTATGCAGGCACAATGGCTTCAAGAGATGGTGATGTTTGTTTAGAATGAACCACTTCAGAAGGAAAATTTTCATGGGAAAAATCCTCAGAGTAATAATGTTGATTGTCATATTGGGCTGTTACAGGAAAAAAAAGTAGACTGGTACAGGAACATATTTTCAGATTTACGATTTTTAAAATAAATAAAAATTGCATCAGGTAAGGTAATAATGATCTAAAAATTACCTAGGTTTATAGGTGGTCAGTAATTACTCGAATTATCAATTATATTTCATTTGCATTTATCTTATTTAAATCATATAAATAAAGTAGTTTTCTCATGGCTTCCAGTGTTCAAAGCCCAAGAAGGGGCACAGATGTGCAGAGCATATTTCATGTGTGCTAGAATGTGACCTAATTTGACATTCAGACCTTATGTTAAACTGCTCTCATTGAGGACCACCATAATGCCAACATGGTATATGGTGACTTAGATTTTTAAACAGAGTTAAGGATTTGTCGCTTCTTGTCCTTCTCACATTCC